TCAATAAAACCATTAAATTTCCTCATGCTTGTTGAGATTACCTGTTGGGGATTACTGGTTTCATCAGAGAACCTAATGACGTTAAAATCCCCGCCCAAGCACCAAGGACCATCCCATAGCCCCTTGATTRCATATAGTTCMTCCCACATCTCATTCCTCTCTCTATAGGAATTAGGGCCATAAACATTGGTTAAAACCCATACACACCCATTCTCTACATTCTTGCACTTAATGGAAACTGAAAATCTGCCTATCAATTCTTCCACTACTTCCACCACATCCTCCCTCCACAGTGTTACAATCCCCCCCGAGGCTCCCCAAGAAGGAGCCGAGCTCCAACCTAAACCTCTAGACYTCCAAAAACTCCTCACCCATCTCCCATCTAATTCCATCAATTTGGATTCTTGTAACAGCACAATATCAGGTTTTTCCCGTGCAACCTTTCCTTTAAACCTAGTTGCAGAATTATAAGTTCAAAAGAAATTACACAGAAGCCCAAAATAAAGTAGCCTGAGAAACCCCCTGTTTTGCAAGTGAATCAGCCATTTGAGTTTGCTGATCTGCCTACCCACTGAACTCTGATTGTCATATTCCTTGTTAGCCATTTAACCTTTTTGAGAAGATCTCTATGGCCTCAAATCATGAAGTCAAGATCCTGCAACCAACCCACTGTCACCTGGGAGTCCCCTTCAATAATCAGATGTTCTATTCCTAGCTGGTTTGTGAGCTGGATTCCTTGCACAGCAGCAAGTAATTTGGCCCTTATAGAGTCTCCCACACCCATAGAACCTGAGTACAAAAATATAATACTACTGTCTTTGTTTCTCAACACTCCTATACCTGAAGGTCCAGGGTTACCTCGGCTACTCCTATCAAAGTTCATCTTAATAAACTCCTCCCAGGTGGCATCCATTCAACCACATATCTGTCCTTCCTGGTAGAAGTGTTAGCCACTGCTAACCAGTTTCTCCAAAGGTCATCGAAAGAGTATGCATCAAAGAGATTTAGACTTTTCTTGCCTTGAGAACCATGCCTTTTCCAGGTTTGCATCATCCTTCAACTTTAAAACCTTCTTCCCGTTAGATTTTGTAATTACCCAAACCCAATCCTCCCCCTCTAAAGATCACTTGTTGTCTCTAGAGCTTGAAATGGCCAGGTTCTCTCCCTTCTTGATCACAGCCACACTTGTAGTAGTTGCCTCTTTTTCAGACCTAAAATTGCTCTCTTAAAATCCCACCCCATCATATGTGGGCCCCGTTTGGTTCACAGTAATAGGGTCCTGGAATCGGGATTGGAATGGGCTATCCGATTCCAACTGTTTGGTTGGGTGGAATCAGAATCCCATTCTTGGTGGAATGGCATTCCCCCATTTGAGGGAATGGCCATTACCTCCCCCTCCCTTGGGAATGAAATCCAATTCCTGCTTATTCCAATTGTGATTCCCATTCCTGTCTGAAACCAAACAAATTATGGGAATAGACCATTCCGATTCTGACTGTGAACCAAACGGACCCTTAAATGAGTAAAGTATTGGCCTAGAACAAATCATTCGACCCAGTGCACTTACGGATGCAAACGGATAGGATTGGATTCGAATCAGGGTATATTCAAATCCGACCTGATACTGTTCATGTCGGATCCAATCTGATCCAAAGATCCGACCGGATCTAATAGGACTCGATCTGAATTTGAATCCTATCGGATCTTCGAATCTGATTTGATCCGACTTGTTTTCTTTAAAAATTAATAAATTATTAAAAGAAAAATAAAATATACCAATTTAAATAAAGAAAAACAAAAATACAAGTATTTTTTAATTATTTTCATCGTATATATACATGTTTTTTATAAAAAATAAATAATATAACAAATTTATAAAAATACAATATAAATAATATTTAAAAATAAATAAATAACACACACATATATATGTATTATATATATTTATATTTATAAATATATAACACATCGGATCGGATTATATATTTATATGATCTGATCCGGTCCGAAGATCCAACTAGGGGTGATCTAAATTTGACCAAATAGGATCGGATCTCGGATCATGATCCAATCTCTTTTTCACCCCTAAGTGCACTCGCATTTGGCTCAAACCAATACTCTTTCTAGAAATACCCTCATCTTTAACCTCTCGACCCTAACCTTTTATCTTCTTCCATTTCAACTACCGATTAAATGACACTTTCCTATCCTTCCATTGAAAAGTAGCAAACATCAGTGATGACCCATGATCTAACCATTTTAGTGGAATGCTTGCCTCCACCACAATTCTTATATCAAACCACTCTCTAGCAAAGTGCAACAACAAAGACAATGGAATCAGGTGTATTTCCTTAACTTCAACCAAAATTCTTGCTCCAACCAAGTTCTTCCATACTCAAGTACTAGAGTATATTTTCATGAATCTTACACACACAACCCCTTTCACCAACAACATGGAATGACTGTCTACACCACACATGGAGAGAAATCACGAAACAATGATACAAACAAGACTTCTGACTCCCACACCAACATTTCTTATTGCTCCAACAAGAGGATTCCATCTACCCAATCTAAGCTCTGGCGATCTATCTTTATACTCCTATCAAAGCACCTCATCTACCTCCTCTTTGCGAGTAAAAATAAAGAGAAAAAATCTAATTGAGTTTTTAAACTAGACTTTGCTTTGTTTTTCCATTTAGAACAAACCCACTTTGAAACCTTATTCTCGCCTGGATCCACATTAACAAAATGAGCAATCCTCCAATAATTTAATTGATCCAAAAGTTTCCCTGCATCATTCACGAACACTAATCTAGAAGACTTTTTTAATCAGCAATAAAGATTGATTTATTAATTAAAATATATGAGATTCAGTACAGTTTGATGACCCAAACGTCATCCCCAAGAATTACAACCAACATTACAAAGATGCCCAATATAGATGTTGGTCTTGCAGCCCCTTGTTTGGCTAAAGTATCTACTAACCCATTTGAACTCTTCCTGATCCACCTGACTGAAATCAGCATTTAAATGCTTTGCTAATCTTTCCACTTCCCTGAAGATGTGTTTGAGGGTCCATGGGACATGTCTGCCACATCTTGCCCAAGATATAATAACTTTTGGATCCCCTTCCCCTTCCACCTATCAAAAACCCAATTGCTTTGCCAACTAGAGCCCCTATAGTAATGCTAGTAACTCTACCTTTGTTGAATTTGTAATGCCAATTGGCTCTGAATATAGAGCCAATATCTTACATTCTGCATTCCTAATTGCTCCCCATAGCCACTCCTGGGTTGCCCATAGAGCTTCCATCAAAATTCAGTTTTACTTTGTTAACCTTTGGCAGTTTCCATTCAACTCATAGAATTTCCTTTTCTCCAGAAGACTGTCCTATTTCCTTCCATGCCCTTAGGATGATTGAGAAAAGTTGGAAAGTGTCTAAGGTTTTTATCCACAATGCAACCCTCACTTTTATGTTGTCAATGACTTCTTCCAAAGTTCTACCTTTTCCAACAAAAATTATGTTATTTCTTTCCTCCCGTACTCCCCAAGCAATAGCTGTTTTAGTAGCTCTCCACAATATTCTCCCTCTTTTGTTTTGTTGCATCAAGAAGTTAGGATTGAAGAAGTATGTCACCTCTTGAGGAGGGACCCAACTGCAGTCAAAGAAAGAACAAAAAAAATTCCCAAATACGAAGCACAAAGGAACAGGATATCAATAAGTGGGAGAGGGACACTCCACTATCCCTACAAAGAAAACACATATGAGGAGAGAGGCAGGTGGTAGGCATCCTTTTCTACAGCAAATTACATGTACTTGCATTACTAAGGAGATCAAGGTGTCTAGCAGATTCAAGGTGTCTGAAGAAAGAGGAGCAAGAACCACCTCTTGGGGTTCCTTCACCTAGAGAAAGAGGGGGTAGGCTTGCTCCATACTTCCTTCACCTAGAGAACCACCTCTTGGGGTCTAGCAGATTTAAGGTGTCTGAAGAAAGAGGAGCAAGAGAAAAGCCCATCTGGAGAGATTGCCCAGAACCTAGAATCCTCCAAGTTTGGAGGGTCCAAGTAAACTATCTGCAAGGTTCTAAGAAGATCAACCAACAAAATGCACTCTCTATCCCTAAGGCCTCTTCTAAAACCAAGGTTCCAGTTGATACCTGAATGGGAAGCCACACCCAGATTGGAAATCGTTTCATTTTTTAAGTCGTAAATGGCATAAAGGTCAGGGAATTGATCTTGCAGCGGTGATTTCCCCGTCCAAAGGTCTTGAAGACTTTTGAAGGTTTAAATTATGATAATTCCAAGCAACATTGGGAATAAATATTTTCCAGTTCTCTTTATAGTCCTTTAGAGTCTATATTAAACAACATATTAATATAATAATGCATTTCTGTTTTTGGCATAGGCAAGACCACATTTAGATGGGAATACATGGATTGATTTTTTATGCAATGATGTATAGCTGTTCAAAAAATCAATCTTCCCTCTCTTTCTTTTTCAATAAAGCTTCTAGATTAAAAAAAAAAAAAAAAACTTTAAAAAAACTCTCTGAGTTGAAAAGAAACTAGAATTTCCATTCTGCTTTAAGAATAAAGGATTGCAAAACATTATATGGGAAGATAATGCTAGCATATGAAGAACTACACCACTTAAAAATCAAGAGTTCCTCATAACCATACCATAATATTAAATTCATTGAAGTCGCAATGGATTAGGCCATGCTCTGCCAGACGAACAACAAGACCAATAACTGTTTCAAAAACTATGTCAGGGTTTTGCAATTGCTTCACCTGTGAGCTGCATTAGAAAGAAAAAGGATCCTTAATTAATCCATAACAACTGAATATGGATCAATTGTTTCTAGAAAGCTAACAAATGAGATAATTAAAAGAAGTAAATAAAGGCAAAGTACAAGTGCGATAATAACTTAAAAATAAAGGGCAGATCAGCCAAGGTAACCCTGGCCTCTCTGGCATAGGAGGGGTTTTGAGAGATAAAGACAGCACTGTGTTAGCTTTTCTCTCAGACCCAGTGGGTCTGGGAGACTCCACCAAAGCAGAGCTACTATCTGCTCTACAGAGGATTCAGCTTGCTAGTCAACTTGGTGTACAAAGATTGCTAATGGAAGATGATTCCAAGATAGTTGTGGGATGGTTTCTGGGCAGCTTTGTGGTTTGCTTGCTGATATCTTCTTAAGAATTTGGTTTGGTTAACAAGGAATATGACAGTGAAAGTCCAATGGGTAAGAAGATCAGCAAATGAGACAGCTGACTTTCTTATAAAACAAGGGGTTAACAGGGATTCTTTGTTTTGGCAGCTTTGTAATTGAGTATAATCTCATTTCTATTTGGTTAGATGTAATTTTCTATTAAGAGTGAGGCTGCATCCCATGCCTCTCTCTGGGATACTTGTAACAGATCTATCTTTTGATTAGTGAATTAATTATTCAATTACCAAAAAACATTTAAACATTGTATACTAAAAGCAAAGAAACCACAATGGAATCCTCAAGTCGATGCCATCTATTATATTAGTAAAATCTAAAAATATCAGCCTATATAAAAGACATAGAGATCAGGAATTATTAAAAAAAAAGGCAAAAGAAATTCTTACAGTGGATAACCTTGGACAAGAGACATAATCACACAATGTCTATTGCAATCCACGGCATTTGGAACCGGAAAACCATGCTCTCCCAGGGCCTAAATAAGCAGAAAATATGTCATACAACCACCAATTGATATTGGTCAGCTGACTAATAAGTAGAAGCAACCAACCTTCATAAACGCATATTCTTTGAGTGCAGCAAGCCTTGACAAGTAGAGCCAATTATAACTACTACGGTGCAGCAAATAATCACGCTTAGATTTGACAGCCCTGAAAGAGACCCTACCCAGCCTATGCAACTTCATTGCATGAACTGTTCCATCTTCAGTAGCAACCTCAAATATATCTTCAATGTGCAAAAGAAAAAGCAGCACCAATATGAGCATTAACAAATGATGAAATGACAAGGACCTAACATTGCTAAAACAGTCTGCTTACTGAAAAAAAGAACAAAAAAAGTATTGCTAAAAGCCTAAAACAGAATTACCAGATTCTTTCCCTGTGCCAAGTTGACGACCAATTGCTGTGAAAACTCCACGGTTAACCAATGTTTTTATTGCAAGAAAATCATACCCAAGATAAGTCAGCCGAAACCCGTCATCTGTATATACAGAAGCATTGACCAGGCTGTGTGTTATCCACATTGCACTTTAAAAGGGAGGTTATTGTTTTCGCATCTCAAGATGATAAAACATAGTATGCACTTACATTTTGAAGAGTCATGATGCAGTAGCTTGTGCTTAAGCAGATTCTTTAACACCTTGTAAGTGCCCCCATGCCTATATGGGCATTATTTGTAATGTGGTTTAATTATAATTAACGGATTAATATTGATAAAAAATATATAATTAACGGATTAACGCTAACAAACACAAAGAGAGAAATTAAATAAATGAGTAGCAACAAAGACTTACTTGAGACCAGCAATACGGTCAATGAGCTCTGACGGTACAATTTCATGCTGGAAATCAGACGAGTAGAAATAGATTTAGACCCTCTTAATTATTACTAGTATAAAATGGATAAGATTATATAGTAATAAAATTGGTTTCATAAATGAATTTAAAAAACGAATAATTAATCGAATGTTGGAAAAACGGTTAATTAAGAGGGAGACAAGAAGAAACAAGAAAGAGTAGAACCCTAAAAGTTATAGTCCAAAAAGGAAAGCGATTGGAAGGAAGAAAGCAAGGGATAAAGATAAATACTAACGTTCTTCATTCCCATCTCAACGGCGGTAAGAACCCTAAAATCATCTTTTGATAGATATCTCAAGACATCCACGTCCAACTTCATGGCGGCGGCGGTGGCAACAGAGAGAGCTGAGCTTAATAACGAGTTAGGCTTACGAGTTTATTAAAATCAGTCCGTCTTTCTTCCTCGCTGTCTGAGTGTGTTTTAGCAGCTGAAAAACAGAGCGGCGAAGGGGAAAACAGAAATCCAATTATATCATGAGTAGCGGAGACCCGTACAGTGCACGGGATTTGTCAAGAGAAATTTAAACAATAGAAACTGATTATAATGAATGTAATAGTCCCTAGTTTTTTCTCCAATGAAAAAAAAAAAAATTTGCAAAAAACGAAATGTGAAGTGGTGCAGTGGGGCAAAGGAGAAACCAAGAGAAAGGGATCGAGGATATAATGGGAAGGTGCTCTGTCGTGGTGGTGAGAGGTGACTGAGGTGCTGCCAACGTTATTGTCGAGTGTCGAAGAAGAGAAGACATCGTTCCCATTGGCTGGAGAATAGAAGACTTCGCTGTAGCGCTGCTAAACTGGTAAGTGGCTTGTGTGCGAGAAGTGAGAACTAAGAGAGTGAGAAAGTTTGAACTTCCAGCCTTGAGGAAGTATGTTTTGTTCAAGTTCGAACAGAGAGGAAAGGGAAAACACCAATTTAGGGTTTTGGGTTAATAAGAATCAAGAAAATAAATTATATAAAATAAAGTCGGGTAAGTATTTTTACTAATCCCGAATCCGATTTGAAAAACAAACGGATTTGATGTTTTGGGCCTGAACTCGAGTCCATGGGCTTGGGCTTAAGTTCATGTCCAAACCTAACTGCGAGCGGGCCGGACCATTGGGCCACCTTGCCCATAAACAATTGTAATCATGATTCATGATAAGTAGTTGGAGAGTTCTTTTGGATGAATTCATGGTTTTTAAAACCGAATCGGAAATTGACCGGTCATGGGTCCGATTATCGGGTTGAACGGTCCGATCGTTTGAATCGAACGGTTGGCCCATTCTGACAGTAAAATTAAAAAAATTAAAAAATAAGTCTGAACTTACTCTTTTCAGACTTCATATACCACACCAGAGGCCAGCAAGGATGGCGTCCACTACTGCCATCAACTCCCCATTTTCCACCAACACCACTAATTGTGTCCGGAAAACCACCCATTTCAGATGCGCTACCGTTAATAGCTTCGTTGACCTCCGGAAAACCACATTAGAGAATCACCATTCCCTCTCCCTAACTAAATCTCTCTCATCCAAACCAAATCCCCGCAGATTCCATATCTTAGCTATCAAATCCAGCCCCAAACTCTCCGGTCGCAACCTCTGAGTATCCGGCGGAGGTCCAGCAGGCAACTCGGCTTTAAAGTAACCCTTTCTATATTATTAGTAAAATAGAAAGGGTTACTTCAATAATATAATTATATTATTATATTATTTATACTATTTATAGATTTATAAACAATTATTGAAAGTATATTTATAAAAACAATAAATAATTACTGAAAATAAAATAAATATTAATTATAGTATATATAAATATACAATGAATATACACTATTATTGTAAAATTATTACTAATAAATATAATTTTGTTGATGGTTATTTTCTATAATTATTAATTGATATATGTGAAATTAGTTATTTATAATATTATTTAATTATTGAAATAATATTGTTATTTAAATTCCTAGAATATTAATTATTTATTAAATTTAATAATCCATAAAATTATAATTATACTATTATTACATAATTCGGTATTAATTTTGTAAAATATTAAATTATTATTAATATGAATATTATGAATTCTATTATAATTATTTTTCTACTTTTAAGATTTTTTTTAATATTTATTACATAATTTCGTTATTTTAACTATTTAAATTTTTGTCATGTTAAATATTTTATTATTTACATATCTATATATTTAAATAATATGTAAAATATTTAAAATCTTTCATTATTTGAATTTTGTTTATTTTAATGTTATTACATAATATTAAATATTTTGTTATATTATTTAGCTATTTTTAATGTTTTTTATTTAAGATTTGTAATTATTTAAATATTTAAATAATGTTTTATTTTTTAATGTTAAATTTTTATTATTTGAATAACATTTAAATTGAATAATTCATAAAATTATGTTTTATATTGTTACTACATAATTCCATGATGAATTTTGTAAAAATATTGAATGATTAATAATATAAATATTATTAAATCTATTAACTTTTTATGTTTTGAATAAATATTTTAAAATTTAGTATATAATTTCGTTATAACATTTAAATAGTTCTGAATTTTTTGAATTGAAACTTTCTTTAGATAGATATAGATAAAAAGTGGGGGAGAGGATAAATAGGAATTAGAGATAGTTTAGGAGAGAATATCTCTATTAAATTAGAGATAATTTAAGAGATAATAGGAGTTAGAGATAATTTAGGAGATAAATAGGAATTAGAGACAATTTAGGAGGAAGTGGGGGGTGAAGTGGTGCCACTTGGCATATGTGAGTTCCTTATTGGCTTTAGTGATATTATGTGGATTAAAAAAAATAGAAAATTCAAAATTCTGAGAAATTAGGAAAGGGGTGGGGGAGAAAGGAGAGAGGTGCTGAAATGGCAGGACCAGTTATATATATAGATGTATGTAGATGTGAATGAGAGTGTGAAACTTTTGTTTGACTAAAAGACCCTAATTTTTTATTTTGTTCCCTCTATAATTGTAAGGACAGAAAAGTAATTTGAACAACCACTATTCTTCTCATTCAAATCCCTCTCATCAAGTTTTACAATTATGGTATTAATCCCATTCTTTCATTAAATCCTATATTAATCAGCCATATTAAAGAAAAATAAGTGTGACGAAGAATAATTACTTTTATTGATGGTAGAAATAAAATACAAATTTAAAACTAACCAAAAAATGGAGTTATTTTCTTGGTGGCAAATCAACAATTAGACCTTTGGGTTCAAATGTATCAACTCTTGATGCCATAATTAAATAATAATAAAAATTAAAAAGATGAAAACACATCAAAGTATACATACAAAATTATAAAAAAATGTAGAAAACATTTGGCCATGTCTCTAATGTTATATATTCATCATATTAAACAAAAATAAGTATGACAAATAAAAATAATTTCTATATACATATGAATATAAAAAAGTTATAGAAAATTTTGGAAACATATTATTTACTATCATCATCATAAAAAATTACCACACTTACTAGTGCATATATATATGTATATAAGCAGGCCGGATTCGAATTGCCTAAGGGCTAGGCCCGAGCTCAGTAAAAAAAAAGCCCAAACTATTGGGCCCAAGCCCAATCAGAGGACCAAAAGTCCAAGTTCTGCCCATGTAAATTTGTGGGTTGATTGGTCTGAGCTCGAGTTGGGTCCGCACAAGTTGCACTCCTAACTAGAACCTATACAATTGGTTTGGTTCATTTTAATCAGTTGGGTAGAATCAACTCCTTAACAGACCTATAAAGAGTCTATATGGGAAAAATTCCATTTGTGATTTGACTATTTTGGAAAGTCTACATGAGAATTTACCTATTTGCTCATGTTTAGTCTTTCTCTTCTAATTAGAGAAAAATCTAGGATCCCATATTGCCTAGGAAACTTTCATACATCTAATAAATGTGGGCATATTTGTCTTGGGCTAATGATGAAAGGTTGTTATTAGGGGTGTTCATGGTCCAGTTTGGTTTGGTTTGAAAAAAAAATTCTAGACCAAACCAGTAAATTACAGCTTAAGAAATTAAACCCTTATAGTATAGAAACCAAACTAGACCAAGTAATTTTATTAAAGTTTGGTTTGGTTTCTAAAACAGTTTGAGCCATTCTATCGGACTCAACTCAATTAAAAAGCCCAAACAGCATACATTGCATAAATAACAAATAAAATTCAAATACCAATTTGACTTGTTAACAAAAGCCACCTCTTAAAGTCATATAAATTATATTCACAATTTATCAAACAAAAACAGATCCTTGGGCATCAAATTACAAGTTAAAAATTGAAAAAAACGACAAGGCATGAAATGTTGATTAATATATACATACATGCATATATATGTTTAATGCATTTCCGTTCCTTGGGCTGGCCCTAGGCCCAAAACCTTGGGCTTTTCTATTTTTCAGGTAGGGCTCAGTCTAACTCTTAAGTAGTCCAAACCCAACCCAAGCCAGTCCAGTTATACACACACATGTACACATACATACATATCTGCATGCATATTTGCAAAATATTGAAAGTTCTCTATTTAAAAGTATAGATAAGTGATACTAAATAGTACATTGGACCTGATAGGCCTGCTTGAGTCCAATTGACTAACCCAATCATGCAACCCGAGTATGTCAATTTTCAGTTTGAAAAATCAGGATTGACCTCAGACCCGATGCAGGATCAGTTCTTATGTCTCAATATTTACGGTTGGGCCTAGATTGAGCTTAAACCTAGCCCACGGGCCCAGCCCGCCCGACTTGCAACCATACGTCTGTTTGTCATGAAAGGTTGCAAGATCAAGGTATCTTAATTATTAAGACACAAACACACACACACACACTCTCTCTCTCTCTCTCAACTAGCACAAAGACATATTCTATATAATAATCATCGATGCATCAAACTCCCTTTACATTAATGAAATCATTAGTTTTTGCATTTTCCAACCATCTTATTTGGTAAATACTATATTGTTGAGATAAACCGTATCTATCAATAGGATTGTCCTTAACCACAGTAATCACTATTTTTGTGTGTGTATATATATATATATATATCGTTAAGATAAACCATATAATGTATGTATCATTATATGATGTTAGTAGTGTTTAGGCCCCGTTTGGTGTGTCTTTCTGCATGGTCTTTCGGCTGTTTACAAGCCAGGCAGACCGTGCCGCGGTCTTTTTCCATTTGATTCATAACATATCTAGTCACCAAAAATCAATGCACTGAAAAGACACGAGAAGCCTATTTTAGGTTGATTTCGGGAAGCTCCAAATGGAACTTTTTGTATTTTTCTCACTTTATTCTCATACAAAAAGACACAAAAGATGCATGGCAGCCAAACTAGTTTCAAACTTCTCAGGTTTTCATACAAAAGCTCAATACATCTTTTAACTAATAAAACTACTAGAAGATCTTCCCAAAAACTTGCCCATTGACACATAAAGTATTTCTAAATATGCTGTCATAGATCATAGCTAGTTAGTGATGCATGTGATACATATTATTTCATAATACAAAAAATACATCAAAATCCACAGTTGTAAGTTTCAGAAACCCATAGCAACAAATTAAAAGCAACGCCTAGCATACATAGAATTTAGTAATTGGATTATCTGGAAGATGATGCATAATTCACGATAATTTTGATCAGGAAACATTTACCTATACAAAGAATAATATTCAATAATGTGATCAAATTCTGACAAATATTCATGGGTTTTTTTTGTCCTATATATGACTAGCAGCTGTGTATCAAGTCCCATATAAAATTTTAGGTTTTCTATCCTTGTGAATCAGACATTTATTTTATTACAAAAAATCACTTTTTCCAAGAAGAAATCAATTGTTTTGTAGAGAGTAATATCAAGTAATAGATTCTCCCCTAAGAATCTTTTATTTAGACCACATAAACAT